TGTGAGGCCGTGGTATCACTCCGTTCGAGCCGACCCATTCATGCCGAAGCATGGCTCTCCCACACTAAAGTATACAACTTCCATCTTTAGGTATCCTGCTGTTCTTGGCTAGAAGTAGGAGAAAGAACGAGATGGTTTTTTGTCAACAACAGTCTGACGCTTCCTCTACCATCATCCAAAGGCGAAATAAAACACTTGATAATCTAAACGACAGTAACATCCAATAATAGTAGAAGCTTGGTATTAACAACTTGCCTTTTCCCGCTAACTGTACACAACAGTACAGGTTGTATTTACCAATTTACATACCAGCTACCCCAAGAGCAGTTATAACATCACCTTAAATATTTCATAACACGAATGACTATACATAGCTATTTCTAGTCATAAAATATGCACTTTTACTTACAAACATAGAGTTTATTTTGCTTCGACAACATCAATCATGAATCACATTGAACAGTTAATACGTTAGATTCCAACTAGTCAAATTCGATTCTTGTATTCGATGAAATTAGTATATAATTGCAAGTTATAATCTATACTAATATTATAAAGAGGTAAAATTTGTAAGTTTGTATGTAGCGGGTAATATTTAGAACAGCGAGCTGGTTGGATTTCTAAAATTATTTTACTGATAGATAGCTACAATGTTCCTGAGTACTATAGGCTATAAAACATCACGCTACGATAGAGGTCATTGCTCAGGAATGGAGCACTTAAGTATAGACTGACGATGATTATATAATTTCCCATTCATGCCGAAACATGGCATACCCAAAACTAACTACTTTTCATAAAAATGTTATAAAAAAAACCAGTTTAAAAACAAAATTTAGGACGTTATACAGACAGACATGATTGTTCTTCAAGGGTTGTAGATACTGAAGGGAGGTCAAATAGTCAACTCTTCAACTACTACTTTGAATGGTTACAAGAACCATACACTTACCAAGAGGACTTGATCTGGAGGTAAACCAATTAGACGTCCTTGACGGTGCAAATGTATTAAGACTGTACGCGTATGTCGGTGTTGTTACACTATTTTCTATTATACCTACCTATTTGGTATATTTTGTTTTATTTATATTTTTTTTTTATTTAATAGGTCGGCAAACGAGCAGACGGATTACCTGATGGTAAGCAATCAGCGCCGCCCATGGACACTCGCAACGGAGGAGTTACGAGTGCATTGCCGACCTTTTAGGGATTAGGGATTTGGAGATTTAGGGATTTAGGAGGGATTGGGGGAGGGGAAGGATTGGGCCTCCGGTAACCTCACTCACACGGCGAAACACAACGCTGTGGTTATTTCACGTTTTCTGTGAGGCCGTGGTATCACTCCGGTCGAGCCGACCCATTCGTGCCAAAGCATGGCTCTCCCACACTTAATTATAACTCTACACTTAAGTATATTTTTTGCTTGAAGGTTTGCTTTCAAAATATGGAATATTCTGGGGAAAACACTTATAGAAACTTCAATGTAAATACCTAATTTGTAAAATAGTTAGGTACTGCTGCTGCTTTGTAGGCTAAGTGATTCAATTTACAGATCTGGTATAAAGTCCAACATATATGTTAAGGGTGAATGTGTGGGAGGAGCCATGTTTCAGTACGAATCAGCCGGCTCAAACGGAGTGATACCACGGCCTTACGGACACCTGGCGTCAAGCAACACTTACGTTGTCTATCGTCGTGTGAGTGGGGTTACCAGAGGCCACCCATCTTCAGTCCTCAAATCCACTATTGTTATCCTTAAATCCCTAATAACCAATAAGGGCCTGGCAACGCACGTGTAGTAACTCCTTTGGTACTGCGAGGGTTCATGGATGGCACTGATTGCACACCATAAGGTAATCTATCTGCTCGTTGGCCAACCTATTAGATAGGTAAATAAACAAGATCAATTGTCCATTAGTAATTATGAATGGAAATAAATTTATTATGCGTTTTTATTATTTAAAACACCTTGGCGTGCCTAATTGATAGAATGACTGCCCAACTAAAACCTATTTTATTTCCACCTCAAACTAAACGATACATAGCGACTGCAATCCGTGAAACTTTCCCCTGTGTTATCAGCTTCAGTAATAAATATATCAGGATTTAAAGTTATCCCCCGCGATTTATCACTCGTTATCAGTTGACCATTCCAGAATTTGTATGGGAAAAGGTTTTATGCAGAATATGCAGATGTCCACATTAATATAGTGTAGGTACATAATATTTTTACAATGCACATCTAAAAGGTCTTATTGAAATAAAAATCAAAAAGTTTTATCACTTATTTTACAACTACTGCCATCTAGTTTACATTGTTAGCAACGCAGAGGTAAATGAAACAAGTTAGAACTTGTTGCTTCATGTTATTTTTCAGAGATAGAAAGTAAATATTTGTTTACATTAAGTACTGTACAACCACCGCCATCTAGTTTATTTTTCTTGAAACTTAAACTTCTGGTCATGTTCGAAGATGTTTCATAGGTTCTCACAATTCAGGACACAAGCAGTTGGTTTAAGGCGAAGCAGTTCTATGAATTCACGCTAGATAGCGCTGAATACAAATAGTTTGAAAAATAAAAATGCAACTTTTAGTTAAAATTGGCAACATATTGGACTGAAAAACAGTTATAGTCAAAGACCGTTTAGAACACGAAGGCTAATATTGATTATTTTTATTACGGTATTTTTCTCAGATTAGTCAGACAGCAAATGCTCAGAGACATGAAAAATGTTTTGTGGGTTGGCAATTGACCCAGGACTTATTGTACTACAGCCCAACCACCGCAGCAATAGTGCAGTCAAGTGTGTAAATAATACTTTAACTCTTTCTTAGTTAAGTACTATTTTCTTTCGATAAAAATTGCTAAGAACAAAATTCTCAGAGTAAGACGAGAAGTATCGTTGTTATTTATTTAATGGTATTTTTAATATTAATGACTCGATCATTGTATTTTTAATTCCACTAAGATCCATTTTTAGAACTTCACAAGAATTACATAGAAGATGCAAATTGTACCAACATATTTCCTTCATATTTCTTCAAATTGTTGCAACATAATTATTTATTCAAAAATAAATATCCTCTCGTTGATTTAATTTTTAAGGTTAGCCGGGGTTGTGGAGCAGAACCTCCACGGTCTCGGCCTAAAGCAGGAGAAGGAACGGGGGTTTTTAGTCAGTAAGAGTCTGACACTCCTTCTCGCTTCACCTTGCGCGTCATTTGATGATTTTTCCTAACAAAAAAAGTATGTTAGTTAATTTAAGAGACAATTATTGTGACATCGATTATGTTGATTATGACATTATCATGTCATCATTTTGTAATCACGTATAGGTAATATTTTCATAGAAATGTATCGTTTTTAACATTCAATATGGGGTGTGTCAGACTCTTTCTGATTTAACTAAAAACCACGCCATTCTTCCCCCTTCTCTTGGTCTGAGTTTTGGCCGCCGCCGGTACATATTTGCGCATCCTCCTGCAACATCAAGTTGCAGTCCTACATTTCGGAAAAATAATCATTTAAGTGTGGAAGAGCCATGCTTCGGCACGACTGGGTCGACTCGACCGGAGCTTTCTATGAACACGGCCTCACAGAAAACGGGCGTGAAACAAGCACAGCCTTGTATTTCGCCGTGTAAGTAAGGTTACCGGAGGCCCAATCCTTCCCCTCCCCCAAGCCCTAAATCTCCAAATACCTAATCCCAAAGATCGGCAACGCATTCGTAACTCCTTATGTTGTTGCGGGTGGCCAGTCCATGGCGCTGATTGCTTACCATCAGGTAATCCGTCTGCTCGTTTGCCGACCTATAAATAAATAATCATAAACTTGGTTCCTCAAACTTCAGAACCATAGTTGCAGCCATAACCACTGAAAAATATAACTAGGGCGATGTAAAAAAACAAAGTAAGGATATAACAAGTTTTAATCTTTCTTAAATTTATCGACAAGCATTCCGTAAAAAGTTTCTTAATTAGTGTAATTTTTGGATTTTATAAACTTTTAATGGGGTATAGCCCTTGAGCGTGACGTGAAGCGCCTTTGATGTGAAAAATATTAGTTTAGTTAGTAATAAATAATTTTTTTTTGTTCATGAAATTAATAACTACGGATTAGTGACTTTAAACCTGGTTAAACTTTTTATTTTATTTCGGATACTGATTTGGCCATCTCCGACGTTGCTCTTTTTTTGTTATATTGTAAGGAAGATTGTGAAGTTAATTCATATAAAAAAATGCAAAATAAAAAAGGGATTTTGATAATCATCGAAGTCCAGAAAAAAAATATTATTTATGATAATTCGTCAAATTCAAAAACATAATTTTATATTCGAACTAAATCATTGGGTAGGTACTTCTAAAAAAATATCTATAAATTAAGACGGTTATAGTAATAATAAGTATTATTCTAATTTTTTGCTTTTAAATAATTTTGGTATTTATATGTATACATAGGGGACAAGGAGGTAAGACGGGGTAGCGGGTAAGACGGGGTACCCAGCGAAATGCACAGTTCAAATGGACCAATCACGTTTGTTCATTCATTGTTCGACGCGTCGCCATGACACTTGTCAGTTGACCGGCGTTTAGTGGTTCACAAGTGCGCAGTGTCGTAAAAAATCAAATAAAGTGTTTTACTCCAAATTGTATATCATATTTTCTTTAGGTTTGACACGTGACTGTTGTTTTTTAAATAACGTTAGCTGGTGAGGTGTTGCTGTGATTGACGCTTACACTAACCTGTAATAAGATAAGTATTGTGTTTTCTTAAGATTGTTAGCTGTTTTTTTTTTTCGTTATTTTTTTCTACAAAATAGCTCTGCAGGCAAGATGGGGTAACGGGTACCCCATCTTGCCCCCAATGAGAATAATTTTATTTTTGTTTGTTTTCCGTAAAAATTAGTATGTTTTTTGTTAGCTTATTATAGTTTACCTTTTTAGAATGGTTCGTGAATACAAACGCACGACTGACAGAGGGTCGTAATCCGAAGAGTCCATGCGGGAAGCTGTTCAAGCGATTTTGGATGGAAGAATGGGATATTATAAAGCAGCGAAACAATTTAATGTGCCACAGACGACACTGGAGAGAAAAGTTAAGGCTGCTCGACCACTATTAAATGAGACATCTAAAGAAAACTTACCCTTATCCATACCAATTAAAGTACCATTGGGTCCTAGGCAGCCTGTTTTTTCTTTATCTGAAGAGAAGGAACTTTGTGCCTATTTACTAGAAATGGAAGAGAGGTTATATGGACTTACGGTTGAAGATCTAAAGGCATTAGTATACCAGTTAGCAATTAAAAATAATAAGCCTAATCCATTCAACGCTGAGAAGAAAGAAGCTGGTAGAGAGTGGATAAATGGCTTCCTAAAACGACACCCAGAGCTTTCGATTAGAAAGCCTGAAAATAAGCTGCCAGAGCATCTGGTTTTAAAAAAGTTGCAGTCGAAAAATTCTTCAATTTCCTTTCAGACACAGTAGCTGCACAAACAGCTGATAATTCTGCGACTTTTAGCAGAGACGTTATTGATGATTCTTTGCCAGGGTGTTCCCACTGGAGTCCCAGGATAGTTTATCAGGAATCGGCACCGCATCAAACTAAAGACCAACCGAATACATCACAAGCAGAACAAAATCAATCCAACGAGCAGACGCAGTCACTAGAACTAGCTGAAAACCCTGTTTGTCAGGAACCAGAGACATCACAACCAGCTAAAGTGCCCAGATGCGGTAAAAGCGACAGTAGCTTTGTTTTGACTTCTCCAAAACAACTCTTTCCACTTCCGCTTACTAAAAAACGGGAAAACAGTAATTATCACGTCGTCTCCCTACAAACAAGAATTAGAAGTCATCGCCCAGAAAAAAAAGAGGCTGAACAGAAAAAAATAGAGAAAATAGAAACAAAAAAGAGAAAAGATGAATTAAAAAAACAGAAGAAAACTACTACAAAAGCTCAAAATAAAAAATCTAAGAAGGATAACCGATCAGCGAAAACAGCAGAACAGCGAAAAGTCTCATCATCTGAAGATGAAAGTGAAGAAGAGGGGGACACGCCATGTATGTATTGTGAGAAAGTATATTCCGTTTCCATTGAAGGGTGGATATCGTGCTCATTATGTGGAAGGTGGGCTCATATTAGCTGCGCAGGAATAGATGATGATGATGACGAAGCCATCCATATCTGCGTTCTGCCAAGTCAAATAATCATTTTCTCTGTGAAGAATTCTCATTACCCCATCTTACCTCAGGGGGGTACCCCATCTTACCAGCACCATGGGGCAAGACGGGGCAAAATACCTTTTTTTTATTTTAATTTTTTTTCTCTTAAATGTGTTACCAAAAGTTCCTAATGACACCAAATACATATACATAATAAAACTACTGATAGTACAGGTTTATTGTACCTAACTTAGTTACCATTGATGTCACTTTCAAAGAACTGGAGATGATATTATAACTGGTTCCTTTTTACATGAGAGGTAACTTACTTACACTTTACTAATACTATTTATTATCATAATACTTATACTTATATATTATAAAGAGGTAACATTTGTAAGTTTGTATGTAGGGGGTAATCTTTGGAACCGCTGGTCGGATTGCCAAAATTCTATCACTGGTAGATAGCTACAATGTTCCTGAGTGCTATAGGCTATAAAACATCGCGCTACGATGAGAGTAGCTAGTTATCAATAAACAATAAGAATTTAATTATTCGTTAGTTCTAACTTACTATTTACGTACACCTATTTTTCTTTTCATAAAAACGTTGCCCCACACGAGTATTTTCTCCTGTGTCATTGGTGCGTTTAACATACCCATCATACCCAGACCCGGAACAACAATTTGTGGATCACACAACGAGTTGTTCCGTACGGGAATCGAAAACTTGACACCTGCCACACACTGGTGCCGGTTGCCCCAAGCATATATTACATATTTCCTTACTATGGCTATGACATAATGTTGATAACAATTACCTATATAAAGAAATTAAAAATTCAGTAGACATTTCACATCCTCGCCGCATTTTAAAAAAAAAAACAAAAAAAACAGCTATTTGACAAATGGATCCAAAACGAGTTTCACAACCCATTAATTAAATAATTACTCTTGCGATACAATATAAACTGATGAAGGCAACAAATACAGCAGAACGTGAAAATTGGTTGTACTGTTAATTGCCTTCAGTTTCACATTAGTTGTTTTAAGTAGGCACTAATTAAAATAAACACATAATTATGGATACAATTTGGTTTAAAGTTAATGGCGTGCGATATACCGGTAAGTAAGTGATAATTTTTAACTGCGTTTTTTAATTACAATTTATGGTTAAACCACGGCTTCATAAAAAAGCAGCGTGACACAACGCTTGAGTTGTGTTTCACCGTGTGAGTGAGGTTGCTGGTGGTTATAACCTTATTTTTCCAAATCCAACTCCCCCAGTCCCACAAATCACTTATGCCCGGTTCCTATAATTGAGAAACGATCCGTTTTAGTTACGAATAGTAGTTTTATATCCGACTCGTAAGCTAAAACCGTTCCTATAACAAACGTCTCGTCGTGCAACTTACTGACGGTTTGCAACTAACGGATGTCGGTAAGCGAATTGTATGGAGATCTATGGTGTCTGTGGTGTTCCTATAAATATTTTTACCGTCAGTAGACGGTCAAGATAACTATTCGTAATGTCATTTGGTCGTAATGCGTATACAACGACGATTCGTTAAATATAGGAACCGGGCATTAATGAGTTAACTAAAAAGGCCTGCAACAGTAAGTGTGGGAGACCCATTTTTTTATTTGTGAAGGAAAAAATCATCAATTGTCTACTCCCGTCCAGGGTCGGACGGAAGGGAGTGTCAGACTCTTACTGACTAAAAACCCCCCGGTTCCTTCTCCTGCTCTGGGCCGACGTCAGGGTGCCTCATTAAAAACCTCGAAAATTAGCCATATAGGGCCTCGTCTGTGGTTTCCTTTTGGCTTTATACGCCGTACGCTCGGGTCTGGTCCTGGTCGGGCGGCGATCTACCCTTACTCGCCGTCCGCAGACCCGCCCTTACGGTGGCCGGAGATCGTCTATCCGTGGGAGAGCCATGCGTCGCCGATGAATGGGTCGGCTCGACCGGATTGATACAACTGCCTCACAGAAAATCGGTGAACAACAGACAACTACTGGTGGCCCAATACGGTTGTCATATCGTTTTTTTTTCCATAAGTATCTAGATCTATAAATATCTGTTGTTTATTTTACTTTATTTCCTTAATAATTTATTCATTTTTAGTAAAAAGCGGTGAAGTAAATTCTGACCTAACGTTACTGGACTACCTCCGAAATCACCTGGAACTAAGGGGTACCAAGTACATGTGCCGCGAGGCAGGTTGCGGCTCTTGCATGGTCACCGTGAAACAGTCCAAAGGTCAACCGTATGCTGTCAACTCGGTAATAATCTAGTTCATATAGTTTTAGGCACAATCCTACTCATCAATCAATCTTTTTAATTTTTTATCTTCATCGTCAATTTAACCATATTATTAAAGTGGTAGTCTTAGCAAGATCCCCAGTTGGAGCTGCGGGTGCAGTGGTCATAGTACATGCGCTGTAATTTACCGCGACTCCGGTCCGGAGCGGGAGAAGGAACGAAAAGAGAGAAGAAAGAGTCTGACACTTCCTCTTAAAAAGCCTAAGCAAGATCCGGCTCCTTAACAAAACAACATACCTTTACTTTACTTTTACTTTTGACGAGTACGGTGCTACTTGAATTCGGCATAACTGTGTCGAACTTTTGTGTATTTGAAGAATTTAGTTTTTATTTCATCATGACACTATCGTGACCAACGATTAACGATAATGGTTATTATGACGGTGGTGAAAACTTGAACGTGAAAAAGAGTTTTTTTTTATTGTATAAAAAAAAACTCTGTAAGTCGGCAAACGAGCAGACGGATTACCTGATGGTTAGCAATCGGCGCCGTCCATGGACACCCGCAACACCAAAGAGTTACGAGTGCGTTGCCGGCCTTTTGGGGATAGGGGTTGGGGATATAAGGATCGGGAAGGGATAGGGGAGGGGGAGGGATTGGGCCTCCGGTAACCTCACTCACACGGCGAAACACAACGCTGTGGGTTGTTTCACGCCGGTATTCTGTGAGGCCGTGGTATCACTCCGGTCAAGCCGACCCATTCGTGCCGAAGCTTGGCTCTCCCACACTTATCACTCATTTCGGTGATCTCCATAATATAATTATGATTCAAACATAGCTTCATATGTCTAATTGTGACCTCAATAAAAATAAAAATATTTTTCCCATTTCAGTGCATGTTGACAGTGGTATCATGCCATGGTCTGAACATCACCACTATCGAAGGACTGGGGAACAGACATACCGGCTACCATCCATTGCAGACCACACTTGCCAAGTACAATGGCTCCCAGTGTGGATATTGTTCTCCTGGTTGGATTATGTCCATGCACAGGTATGATCCTATAATGTATAAAATGGATATCAGGCATATTTGCATTGTCTGTTAATAACCATGGAGTTTCTTGCTCGTTCATCTCCATCGGAATCTACACTTCACTAAGCAATTTTTCAATTAAGCAAATAGCTTCACTAAGAGACAGACTGACACTATATTATCTTCAAAATTTTGTTTGACGTTCAAAAGCGCCTGTAAGGGTCTAATTCAAATAAATGACTTTTGACTTGGAATAACTATACGAAACATCAATAAGGGCTGACTAAAAAAAAAATTAAAATTGTTGCAGTTTACAAGAAAGCAATCCAAATCTTACGCAATTGGAAATAGAACAATCTTTAGGAAGTAACATCTGCCGCTGTACAGGATACCGACCAATCCTTGATGCTTTCAAAAGCCTTGCCGTTGACAGCGTTGACAAAAACTTACAAGATATTGAAGATCTGAAAATCTGTAAGAAAACTGGAAACAAGTGTGACGAACAACATTGTGATGATAGTGACTGGTGTATAGTGAAAGAAGATGATCTACTTAATACTAGAATGATACAAATGAAATTAAAAGATGGAAAGTATTGGTACAAAGTTACATGTATAAAGAATATTTTTGATATATTAGACGATAAAGGTGAAGACTCATACATGTTAGTAGCTGGGAATACTGCTAGAGGTGAGAAAATGTAGAAGCATAATAAAAGAAAAATAATGAGATTAGGTTTCGCATTTTCTTTAGCAGAGTTCTAAATCAATCCAGCAGGTTAACTTTGGCTTATATTTTGGTTTATTTTAGGAGCATACCCCATAGAAGAATTTCCTAAAGTAATGATTGATATTAATGCAGTTCCTGAACTTAAAGGTTATAAAATCGACCAGAACCTTATCATATACGGTGGAGTAACGCTAACTGAACTATTGAATATATTCAAAAGAATAGCAACGCTAGAATATTTTGCATATTTGACAAAATTTTATGATCATTTGAGGAAAGTTGCTCATATACCAGTAAGGAATGTAAGTAATTCTTCCTTTCTATAATGATCTAGCAGACCCAGCCTCACGTTGCTGTGGCTAAGGTAAACAATATTGCGACTATAAATTGAGATGTAAGCTATCCTATCTTTCAAGTTGGATCAAAATGCACAAGGAATGCAAATCAAATTTAAAATCAGTTTAGTAGTTTAGAAGTCCATTGCGGACAAACACGTGACACGACATTTTTTATATATAAAGATAAATATATTAATTTCACAGTATTTTAATGTTAAAGCCTTCAATTGTGTCCAAAGACTTAATAAGAATAAACATCAACTTGATATAGTTAAAAAATCGACCAAGAGTTTTCCAATAAAAACGAATGCTTAGTGCTAAAAAGAGAACATGATTTCCCATTTTAAGGGAACAAAACTCAACATTAATTTAAAATCAATAAAAATGGGTTATAATGCACACCAGTATTACAATGTAGGTTCTGTACAGTATCTACATAATGCAGTTGATTCAATACTTTGTTCACAAGCTTCAGTGTTTGTGAGCAAATATTATTGTCGCCGTACTCTCGTCACTGTGAACTCAATTAAAGTGCTTTATCTTGTAAATTGTCACTGTAAGTGCTTTGAGATAACAATACGCGAAACTACATTTCCATGTCATATTCTGATAATGATTTTTTTCTACAAACACATTGATTATGTTAGCAAAAGGCATTACCTAAGAGTTGCTAAGCATCAGAAAGTTATAGGGTTTTTTACTCTGGTAAGATTAAGATATCTTTTATATTTATATTTTTGGTCTGTGTGAGTCTGACACTCCTTCTCAGAGGTAAAAACACAACACACAACATATTTGACTTTTGTTCTGTGGATTTTGCATGATAAAATATTATGGTTTTATTGCACACACTTGCCAAGTTTAGAGATCATGATGTGTGAGATGTTATAGTCAACTACTATTTAGAGAAAACCTTTACTCCGATATTGAATTGTTACGGGATTTTAATATGATTTTTGACTTGATAGACAATATTTTATTAGTGATGAAAATCATGATTCTCGGAATTCTATAGATTATAATAAAATTTAATGCTTCTTTTAGATCGGAACTATAGCTGGTAATCTGATGATTAAACATAAACACAACTTCTTCGCATCCGACATTTATCTACTTCTGCAGACTGTTGGAGCACAGCTGACTTTGGGTTTGTACAAAAATATTAAGTATAATTTATTATATTACTAGGTTTTTTGAATTGAAGGGAGCCTGTGGGGTTCACAGGCTTGGTATGGAACAACGCTTGGGTTATGTTTCGATGTTTGAGAGAGGGTACCGGGAGGCCCAATTCTTTTCCCAATCAGCACATTCCCCTATCTACAAATCCCTACTCTAAAAGATCCTTGATGTTGCGAGTATCCATGTGTGGTGCGAATTGCTTAGTGAAGCTAAGCTGAAGGTTTTGATCACTATCCGACCTTTCCTTTTAAAAGACTTCTTTAATTTTAGTGAGTCGCCGTTCCAGAACTAAAACTGTGACTATGGAAGAATTCTTGAAAATAGATATGAAAGGTGTAATTATCCTGAATGTTATGCTACCTCCTTTGAGCTGTGAATATCAAGTTGCAACTTTTAAGGTAAGACAAATAAAACTGACCAAAATTCGTCAGTTGTTTAACCGGCTTGGGTAATAAAGGTTTAGATCTGAGGTTCGTGGATAGATTTAGATACACACATCTCATCAAAATGTGATAAGTATTATAACAGCATTTTAAGTACAAAATAAAAAATTGGTGGTCTTTCTCTGGGAACCCAGAACACTCATTTTACGATTGCCAATGAGCGCCTTTTTATCCACTATAATGAAACAATGAAACAATGAATTTATTTTTGCAAATAGGCCATAAAACGGCACTTTTACACGTCAATTTATATGTGAAAAACTAGATGAAGCCGGCATTTCCTATCTGACTACTCTGAGAAGAAATGCCGAAACAAACTCAGAGGTCAGTCTCTTTTCAAGTCCAGACAATGTAAAAATAACATAATGTGAGAGAATCGTGCAAGTTCATTCTGTAGTGGTCTTTTGAGGAAAGAACCACACCAGTTTAAGTGGACCCGTTCTGAAGACAGGCACGCAAGTGTCAGTTTGCAACCAGTATAGCTAGTGCTGCTGAGTTGTCCGACGAACAATACCGATCTAAAGAACATTTGGGTGGGTCGCGCAAGTACTCAAACTGTCAGAACGCAGATAACTGGTAATCAAAAAGCACGGCAAGTCTCACACGGTCCTTACACTAACAATAATATAAAATAATAAAAATGTCAATAAATAAATAAAAAAAAATGTCAAATAAAAAATAAAATGTCACAATAGGTGATTATGTCATTGTATAAAAAATATAACGTTTCATTATGTATTTTATTTCACAGGTAATGCCAAGAAGCACAAGTTACCACTCGATAGTGAATGCTGGATTTTTATATCAACTACATAATCAAAATAAAGTTATATGCTCAAGGATTGCCTTCGGTGGTCTTTCACCATCATTCACGAGAGCTTCTAAAACGGAACGATTTTTGACTGGAAAACAACTATTTACCAATGATATTTTACAATCTGCTGTAAAAGTTTTAAATGATGAAATCGTAGTTGAAGAAAATCCACCAGAACCCAGCGTTGAGTACAGACGAAAATTGGCACTTGGATTATTTTATAAGGTAAGCCATACTGTTATACTATTGAAACAATGAAACAATTAACCATATTTATATTTTTATCTTTGCAAATAAATGCGATCAACGTTTGCACCTTATTGATCTTTTGAATCTTTCATTTTCAGGGTCTTCTATCGTTATGTCCAGACAACTTACTTAACGCTCGTTACAAAACAGGAGCAATCAAAATTCATGACACGCGTCCAGTATCAAAAGGTGTTCAGTATTTTGAAACAGACCCATCAACGTATCCTTTAAATCAACCCATCCAGAAAGTCGAAGCATTGGTAAGTCAACAATATTAATCTAAACACGTCTGTGACTATTGTGTCATTATCCAAATTTTCTTGTTTATAAGAAAACTAGTGTCCATAAAATTATTTAAATGAGTAAAACTAAGTCTAAGTTTGATGCAAATACTATATTAATTTTCAGATTCAATGCGCAGGGGAAGCACATTATACCGATGACTTGCCTTCACTACCTAATGAAGTTCATGCTGCTTTTGTGGTCACTACCATTGGAGTTGGGGAAATCGTATCCATAGATGCATCAAAAGCTTTAGTATGTTTAATTTCTAGAATTTAATTTTTACACATATAAGTACAACTTTTTTATTTTACTATTTTGTTATAGAGCCAACCAGGTGTTGTGGCGTTTTATACTGCAAAAGACATACCTGGTCATAATTCTTTTACGCCAACTAACGGCCGCAATTTTCCAGTAGATGAAGAAATATTTTGCGAAAAGCAAGTCAAATATTTCAATCAACCTCTTGGGGTAATTGTGGCTGAAACACATGCTCTCGCAGAGAAAGCCGCGAAAATGGTTAAAGTACAATATAAAAATATTCGCAAACCAGTACTTGACGTCAAAGAAGCTATCAAAGATCCAAATAGAGTCTCATTTTATGCTTCTGATGATGCTACCGATGTAGGTAAAGATGTACAGAAAGTTATAAAGGGTGGAGTAACAATATATGCTCAGAATCACTTTTGTATAGAAAACATACTTTGCGTCATTCGTCCTACGGAAGAAGGAATAAAAGTCTACACGAGTTCACAATACGTTGATTCAATACACGTAGGAATGTCAAAAGCTTTGAACGTAGACCAAAGTAGGTAAGTTGTCGCTAACAGATTAAAATGAAAATGAATGCATAATGTTTTATAGGTTCTTTTATTTGTACTTAAAAATTACATTTGATATTTTCCTCAGTATTGATATTTATGTCAGACGCGTTGGAGGTTCATACGGCCTCAAACTTACTCGCAACGTCCAAGCAGCTATTGCGTGCGCTCTCGTGGTATTGAAGTTAAATAGAACGTGCAGGTTCATTCAATCTCTGACTAGTACCACTAGATCATTGGGAAAAAAGCTTCCTTCTACAACTAATTACGAGGTAAATGTTATTTTTAATTTAATATTTTTATGGAATAGGAGGCAAACGAGGAAACAGATCACCAGATAGGAAGCGATCATGGACATTTGCAGGCACGTTGCGCGCTTTTTAAGAAAAGAACTACACACGTTTCTTGGATGTTTAAACATCGTATCATTGTACTTACTCATTATACTCACACATTATCATGCCACGTTCTGTTTTCTGGACAAACGCTCTTTAAGAAGGATGCTTTTCTTTCTACTTGATATTCGTCAAGTGGATAAATTCATAGTTCTACTGCACTTTAATTTCGCAGATTGCTGTCAACAATAGTGGAGTTATACAATACATAAACTACAACTTGTATATGGACAATGGTCACACTGTCAATTTCAAATTCAACTTTCTTATTATGAGTTCGTATAATAACTGCTACGACAAATCTAGATGGAATTTGCGTTGTTACAACGCTACTACTGATGTCCCTAAGAATGACTGGTTAAGAGCTATTGGTAAGAAATATATGTTTATTTAAAGTCAGCGTTTGGCCTTAATATCTCATCTCACTTGAGTATAAAAGATTTTAGTAGATTTTAAGTTAGAGTCAAACAAACCTCTCACTGGTTCACGCTTTTCAATGCTCTTTTCTTAATGAGTAAATAAATATCCCGTATAGAGTAATTTCAGTATTCCTTTGTGTGATAATTATAAAATAAAAACTTCAGGAGCTCTAGACGGTATTGCACATGCTGAAATTATCATGGAAAGGATTTCGTATGAACTAGCGTTAGATCCGATACAAGTCCGTTTAAATAACTTAGACAGACAAACATCTGGTGCCATAGAAGACATGTATGATACTCTTAAAAGTCAAGCGAAGTATGATGACCGAAGATTAGCAGTGGATAATTATAATAAACAGAATAGATGGAAGAAGCGCGGACTTAGATTTTCATTCACAAGATGGCCTTTGCCGGCATTGGGGTACAATAACGTATTACTATCTATTTACCATGGTGATGGAAGTGTAGCCATCGCTCACGGAGGAATAGAAATGGGACAAGGTATTAACACTAAAGTGATACAAGTCTGCGCTTATTATTTCAAAATTCCATTGAGTAAAATCAAAGTTAAAGGATATGATACAATGTCCACTCCGAACAGTGCTGAAACTGCTGGGAGTATAGGATCGCAGAACATCGCTTTGGGAGTCAGTAGATGTTGTGAAACTATTTTGGAAAGACTCAAACCTATACGTAATAAAATGGGAGATGCAACGTGGGAACAAATTGTGGAAGCGGCTCATACAGCTGGTATAGACTTGCAAGCACAAAGTTTTGTAAACACTAGTGATGCTACTAAATATTCCTATAACGTTTTTGGAGTTGCGCTAGCTGAAGTTGAGATTGATGTGTTAACTGGAGAATCGGAGCTTATAAGGGTTGATGTAATGGAGGATGTTGGTAAAAGTATGAGTCCAGAAATTGATGTGGGACAGGTGAGTGAGTTTAGCATTTGACAGAGTCTGAGCTATATATACCATTGACTGATAAAAGCCAGAACAAATTCAAACACCATGTAACATGTGAGAATATTGATCATCTGAAAAATTTCGATAATATCATTTCAGGTAGAAGGTGGATTTATGATGGGCGTTGGTTATTGGACCTCAGAGAGATTAGTTTATGACAAAAATACTGGCGAATTATTAAGTAATCGGACCTGGAACTATGCAGTGCCCATGAACACAGATATACCTCAAGACTTCAGAGTCTATTTCAAAAAGAATTCTTATAGTTATGCAGCCATTCATGGAGCTAAAGGTAAGTCAAATAATTAATCTAATTTGTGATTAATTATTGTCATTCAATCTTTGAAGAATTGAATAAAATTTAACAATATGTTCAGCCCCTTTTTATGGGTTGGTAGGGCAAAGCCAATCCCTGGAAGGGTTTAAAATAATCACAATGCTTATCTTGTTAGTCGAGGCTGACTGCATTGGACCTTGGTTGGTTTTTAGTTAGCAAAAGTCTGGCACTTCCTCTTACTTTATCCAATCCATTCATCGGATGAATTTTGCTTCTGAACTTTCCTGTTAATGATTAATTTAACAATTACACTTATGAAGCAGTACAGCAACATTTATCCAGTGCAGAAAACCTGTCCTATAATTACGATTCTTTGTTTTTTTGTTTCTAGCTGTTGGCGAGCCCCCGATGTGTATGTCAGTAGTCGTAGCATTAGCTATCAGAGAAGCAATATCTGAAGCTAGAAAGGAGTCAGGAATACCTACTACACAATGGTTTAATATTGGTAAGAGAAAGTTTCTGGAAATAGATAAACTTGCTAGTATTTATAAACACGACATTTTGTCAGTATGTATGGATGGATAGACAAATGATTTTTTATAACTTTTTAAAGAAAAAACTAGAGAACAGATTAAATTTAATTTAGGAATCGAGGTACCTACATTATTTAAGTCTGGAATAGACATAGACTACATTTTCCCCTTGTTTTAACTGTAGTGGACGAAGCCGCTGGCAGAACCTAATAGAATCATTATAATGATTAGTTTAAAATGTATATAACAATATCAGCGATGAAGAGATCCATATTAAACCCTCACATTATTTACTCACAGATGGACCATCGACAGTGGAAGTCATAGGATTATCAACGGAAACCAAAGTTTCCGATTTTAAGTTTAACTAAATCTGCTTTCAGCATTATTAATTAATTCATTAACTGAAAGAAAGAAAGAATTTAGAAATTATGTACCACGGGCCTGAATCAGGAGAACCAACCTGGGCGAGACAGGTCATTGGCTGATTTTTCATCGTCAAAAAAGTTTACCATTGCGTATTTCTCTAGATCTAGATAGAATAGATCTAGATAGTAGCTGAAATTTCATTTATAACGTTCCTTTTGTAGCCATCTTGACGTTTGTTTTGCAATAATAATCATATAGATAATTATATTTTAATTAAGTAGCTTGAAATTAAATATCTAATTTTTTTGTGTATTGTTGCTGATTGTCATTTCATCATTTGTTTCCTTAATTGACAGACGGACTGCAGAATATACCATCATATATATTCGATATTTTGGAAGAGATACGACCTGTATTATGTCTTTCAGAGGGCCTACCATGACGTGTGAAATCGTCAGTCTTCCGGGCGATAAAGAGGGATGGAGCTATACACCTTTTATAACTCCATACCTCTTTCTCGCCCGAAAGACTCGTTTTACCACGCCATGGTAGGCCTAGGTCCTGCACAAGAAAGATGCCTATGATCCTTAAAAAGGCCGGTAACCAATGAGACATCGGTTCTCTATGAACACCGCAAACTATAATTACTATTGTGTGATACATAAGTTCGGTTTCCTTAAGTTTACACTTAGGTGCAATCTTAAAACTGATTTTGTGTTTTTTTTACATAACACATAAGGTTGTGTTTGATATCATAAAATCAACCGTCATAAAGTTAACCGACCTATTTAAGAACCTACCTGAGTACTTACATAATACTCAATTTCAAGCACGAATAGTATTTGCACGTATTTTGGGGCCTTAATCAACGACGTAACGTTACTACAAAAGTACAGTCGTTGGCAAAAAGATCATTTCGATGTAAACTGGAAATGGCATGCAATTTTAATTTTTAAAATCTCATACGATCTTTATAAGGGTAGTTCACAATGCTTACTAAAATTTTATCATATTTTTTGTACAATACAAAGGTTACACACAATGAGGACCAGATATTATTTTGAGAGTAATTTCTAAAAGTCTTGTCTTGCCACACACATACAATTTATTACCATCTACTCGTAGATTTTACTATTTTTTTCTAGTTTTAGATTTTATTCGATACCTACTCATAACTTACTATACTTATATGGAAAAAAAATACAATATTTATTTCATGTAGTGTCTTGTGGACAGACCTTTAAACTGAGCGCCACTACAAAAAGTACGAGCGATCCTGCAATCCCGCACGTTTGCTTGTTATTTTTTAGCAGGCGCTATCGCCCGTATTCACGTGATTTTTCGCTTTGTGAATCTGATGCTAATCGCATGTTCCTGCAGCGAATACTAGCATTATTTTATAAAGGTTATTTCTTTATTCATGACCTTTATACTTCCAAAATTCCATATTCTGGTAAAACGCAAAATTTACATAGGTAAATAATACAAAAAAATATAATATCCAGTTAAGAAAATGGGTTTGCAATGCTTTGGTAATTTGTAATGTTTTTACATAGTTTCCAGGTTTGCAACAAGGTATAGTCTAAAACAGTAAGTTTTTATTAATTAGGTAATTTAGGTACTTAATTTTTGTACGTCAAACTGAAGACTAGTTTCTCAAGCTTTATCTAGAAATACATTTACTAAGTACCTACCTTAAATTATCGATTAACGGTGGGATTATATTTAAATGTTTTTAGTGTCATAATTTCAAATAATTTCTTTCTGAGGAATCCAATAAAATAAAAATTATTTAACAATTAATACCAATAATATTACTTTACTTCATTAACAACTCGACCGAAACTATACTCTATCTGCATAGTTAGTAAAGCACCTGCAGCATTAGTAATAGCAACTGATTGTCTTACTTCGTGTTGCTAATAGTAACAAATATTTGAATAATTAAATACGAATGCAGCTTTGTGAATTAACTGTAATATAATTTAGAACTGCAGCAAATTCACAAAGGCATAGTTGTGTGTTTAAACTAAGTGTTGAGGATGATAATAGTGAAATTAATACAATTCATAATTAGTGTGGATAATCGAAATTGGTTGACAGTCATGCCATAATAGATTTAACGACTCAATGACTAGCAGTTTGATTGAATGGCTGAATTTCTCGTTCAGATCATTAGATGAAGAATGAAAGGGTTGTCATTTAATTGATTGCTTCCAGAGTGGTAGGATAGGTTAGCCGACGTCCGACCAGATCCAGGTCAGAGCGTACGGCGTGTTGCGGATCCGCGCGCCTCAAGAAGCCGACAGACCACCACAGTTGGAGCCCCAAATGTCTTGTTCTGGTCGGGCGGCGAACTACTCTTGTTCGCCGTCTCGCAGAATCTCGCGGTTTTGAAAGTCGGAGATCGTTTATCAGATCAAAAAGAGTTTGTAAAATTATAGTCCTAAGTGTGGAAGATTCATGCTTCGGCACGAATGGGCCGGCTCGTCCGGAGTGATACCACGGCCTCACATGTAACCGGCGTGAAGCAACACTCACATGGGGTTTCACCGAGTGAGTCAGGTCAAATCTTACACCCCAACCGCAACCCCCAAATCCCATATCCTTAAATCCCTAATACGGCCCCACAAAAGGCCAACAACGCACTTACAGTAACTCCTTTGCTACTATGAGTGTCTATGGACGGCGCTGATTACTTACCACCAAGTAATTAGTCTGTTCATTTGACAATACGTATAAAAATCCTAAGATCCTAATCGTATAAAAATCCTAAGAATCCTAATCCACAGATTGTTGTTCCGGGTCTGGGTGTGATGTGCATGTGAAATTGTATGTTTGTAAACGCACCCACGACACAGGAGAAAATCCTAGTGTGGGGCAACGTTTATATAAAAAAAAAAAAAATTCTACTGTCACCAAACGAGACGTCTGTGAGTCTATAATTGATCAATAAATATTCTACTCAGCAAAATAATGCATTTAAATAGACTTACTTATATCAAACTTTTAAAGTTTCGATATTATAACTTTGCGTACCAACCTATCACTATAAAATATAATCAAAAAGATATTTTAAGTTAGGTTTCACAGATAATTTAAGTTGCAAAGAGGTTTTAGTTTATTTCAAGTTAGGCTGCATCGCTATAGTTTTTTTTTTTTAATAGTGGTGGTTTGGTGCTCTCTGACTTTTTACTTGATGTTTAGTCATCAACTCCGGCTATAGAGACCACTAGAGGAATCATGTTGCCGTTTGCCGGCTTCTTGTTGCATATAAAGTAGATCAAAACTCGAGCGTTCATCATGCGTTTCATATTGAAAAACCATTCAATAAGGCACGGGTATTCAGTGAGTCGAGCCAGCTTAGTAGTATGCACTTTTTGATTATGTAGGTATTTGCATTTATATGATAATTTAATCAATTGAGAAAACCAGAAACAAAATTGACAATATTCATTTAGGACCCTTTTTATCACCTCATTATAAGTATGACTCGGTAAACTCATGTCAGTAGTTCATAAAACTGGCCACCGTAAGCGCGGGTCCGACCAAAACCAGACCCGAGCGTACGGCGCGTAGTGTTCCGCGCGCGCCTCAAAGAGCCAATAGACCACCACAGACGGGGCCCTATAGGGCTAATGTTCAGCCGGGGTTGCGGGGTAAGCGCAATGAGGCACCGCGACCTCGGCCCAGAGCAGGAGAAGGAACAGAGGGGTTTTTAGTCAGTAAGAGTCTGACTCTCCGATGATTTTCCCACCAAAAAAAAAAAAAAAAGTACTAAAAACTTACACTAATCAAAGATAAAAAGTGCCACAGAAAGTTCTTCTCACCCAAAACCGTTTAGCATCAACCCTTATTGAATAATACATATTTTTTCACCAATCATACATTATATACACACATAGGTATATCTGCAACTCATCAATAATTCATATATGGTAATATTGTTGCTGAACTATGGAAGTTTTCAGCCATTTCAGCCTGATAATGGTCTCGGTTTTTGGCACTGTATTTTGAATTCTTCAGTCTCTCAAAGTTTTAATGCTAGGGTGACTGCCACATTTAAATAGAGCTCGTTGAAGGTGATGATTTTGATATATGTATTACTTAAGTTGGGGGTTGCGGGTAAGCGCACTGAGGTACCGCGGCCTCCGTCTGCAGCAAGGAAGGAACGGGTATTTAGCCAGTAAGAGTCTAACTCTTGCCATACCTTGGGCGAGAGAAAGAAGAAAGAAAGGGAGGGCAACCGCCTCAAAATAAAAAAACTAAATTGAAATCGGTTCATTCGTTTAGGAGCTATGATGCCACATTCAGACAGACATGTCCTGCGGACGACAGACTCGGGGCGTCTTGTCGTCCGACCCCCGAGGGCGGTGGGTCTCCACGACGATTTTCCAAACGGATAACAAAAAAAAACTTATAACACCCCTCTTTTTGCGTCGGGGGTTAAAAAGAAGGACAGGTGGGATCTACCGCGTACCCCGACCCGGAAAAGGAGAAGACACCGGGTGGTTTTAGTCAGTATGAGTCAGACACTCTTTCTCGCCCCACCTAGCCGAAACTGGGAGACTTATATAATATCAGGTTGCAGCTTTATTATTGTATAAAACATAATCGTTATAATATGTGGTGACTTAACGGAGGGGATCAAGAAAAATAATCAGTTACAAAATGTATTCTGATAATCTGATGATTATGATAATGATATTGATCTCCAAGCTACTATTCTATTTTGACGTTTCAAAATTACATATTTATGCTTTAGTTGAAATAAATGATTCCATTCCAGTATATGATTTCCATGAACTTCAATGTAGGTAAAGGAAATTCACGAGGCATTGTTGATTATGATGACAACGATTTTGTAAAGAAATGCTTTAAGAATTAACTAGAGCAGGAATAAAATGAAATAAATGTTGATTTTTAATATATTATTTTATTAAGATATTTACAAAGACTCTCAGGCAGTTTCGTTGTTCGATAATCACAGTAAACATCAGTTCACTGTCAATCAGATTAGGGTTTGATACCCAATACAATCAAAAAAATAATGTGATATCACAAAAATATCGATCACAGATTAAAAAATGGATTAAATACAAAATTCGAAACAGCAAAGTACATAAATACTTTACCACGAGTATTTAAATAGATGTTAAAGAAAGAATAAAATAAAAAAAATAAGTCAAAGTCAGGTTTAGTGATGTCCGTAGTATCCGAGACCGCCGTATCCGCCGAGACCGTGACCGCCGTATCCGAGACCATGGCCGTATCCGCCGTATCCGCCGTATGCGACCTGGTTAGCGTAGCTGACAGCTGGGGCACTGTAGTAACCACCGTGACCGTAGCCTAGAGAAAAAAAAATGATTACTTAGATGTAACTATGTATAATACAATTAAAAAACTAAGGATTAAATGTTGTAATTCCCATTTGGAAGACATTTTGGGGATTAAGGATTTAAGACGTTGTGTAATAAGGATTGCACCATACGTAATCTTCTTTTTTATGTTAGACGTGTAAATATTGGGTTTGTTTCGCAACGTCTGGATAGGCATTAGGTAGATATGATGCCAGAGAAATTATAAGGTAGAACATAATTAGATTGTTTATTCTTTTAAACAATACGTTGGTCCACAATATGATTTTCTTCGTCGTAGGTACATGACAGACACACATAATTATACAAGCCACCCAGACCAGAAACGTTTGTTGATCACACAGCGTCTTGTTTCGTGTGGGAATCGTCCCCGCGACACTGCGTAGCAGCCTATTGCTCGGCATCAACCGTGCCGTTATTATTCAACTTTACTATCTGCCATACCTAAAAGTGTATAAGGAACCTTTTTGAAAGTGGGTGAAGCAGGTTCTAAATGTGTGACTGATTGGTTTCTTAATAATTATAATTATCGCAAACATGCTATAATGCGTCACGCAACAGACAGAGGACAACATACAATCCCAAGGCTCGCTTTTATTACCGAACAATGCAAAAACATGGGAACTTCGAATCAAGTGTAAAATTGTATTTAAATAATGGTGATTATTATCCTGAGACAATGCTAGTATTGTTTCTTTTACAACAGTATTATCGATAGGTATCTATTTCATGTTTTTGGACTCCATACTTACTTGCTCGTGAGACTTTAAGTGATTTATTGGTACCAGTGTTACTATCTTGCAAGGAGGTTTTATATTAAAGTTTTAGGCTAAGTAAAATAATGGGGTTGCGATTGTTAATAAACTGCCGAGGCGCCGTCTCGGAGTAGAAGAAGGTGCATAATTCTTAGGACTGATTTTTCAATAGTCAGATAAATGTTCTCTGAGGAATAAAATTGTTGCTGTCACTGTCTTATACAAACATTATGACGCGACAGCATCATAATTATTTCCCAGATAACTTTTATCTAACCATTGACAAATCAGCCCTTAGTCAGTTTGTCTGGCAATCCATTTCGATTTTTAAAAGATATAGTGATTTAAGAGGAAGATTATTATGTTAAATATCATGCATTAAATCTTACTAATATTATAAATATAAATGCGAAAGTTACGATGTTTGGATGTTTGTTACTTAATTACGGCAAAACTACTGGACGGATCTGAATGAAATTTGGCACAGGCATACGATACACCCAGGAATAGGATATAGACTACTTTTTATCACACCACGCGGGTGAAGCAGCGGGCGGGTCGATAGTATGAAATAATTCTGTAGTTGAAAGCAAACAGTGTATTGTTGCTAATTAGCTTGTTGTCTTATTAACGTGTATCCAAGTTTCCGCTAGAGTTTACCGTCTGTGTGTTTAACTTTTCTGTGAAGTTTATTTAAATTTAAGTATGCAAATGAGTATTTAGATACGGAAAAGTGAAGTGTCTTAGTTAATTGAAGTAAATAGAGAACCTTATTTTTTGGTAGGTCAAATTTTTATTTTATAACAAACTTCAATGAATCATTTTGCATTTCCAAGATCCACATAACATATTATGACTGGTTTAATAGGTACCTAATACACACTCGGGCATCTGAGTTCAAGTTATGTATGATTAGGTAGTTTTCATGGTTGTAAAATTATCCAATGACTTTTCCCGCATAGCGAGACTAAAAATCAACCCTTCCATTCTCCTGCTTAAGAATAGAATTTTGTTTGGCTTTTCAAAAAAAAAAACTGAAGAATCTGTAGTTACCTATTCAACGAATACCTGTAAATAATTATTTAGAAAGTCATCACAAACGTACCGAGTCCTCCGTATCCGCCGAGACCGCTGTATCCGCCGAGACCGCTGTATCCGCCGAGGCCGCTGTATCCTCCGTATCCACCGTATCCGCCGTAGCCTCCGTAGCCGGCGCCGTGAGCGGTCGTGTACGCAACCTTGCTAACTGCTACTGGGGCAGCTGTGGATGAGAAAAAAAATGTTTAATTTAAAATAAAAACATTTGAAATGTAAATTAAATACCAATTTGTTTTTAAAAGTTTTATTCATAACAGATTATGACCTTATGAAGTTAAACAAAAAGGCGTTTTTGCTATGATACAGATTTTATTAAAACGACGAAAATCCACGCCACGTTCGGGCTCCTGAACATACATATTAAGTAACAAAGCACCCGTTGTTATCGTGCGAAAAATATTTTTTGAGTAACGTTACAATAACTTTTGTCAAACATTTTTTTTTTATTTAAGGCTGATTTTTCAATAGTCAGATAAATATTATCTGAGGAATAAAATTGTTGCTGTCACTGTCTTATACAAACATTCTGACGCGACAGCATAATAATTATTCCCCAGATAACTTTAATCTAACCATTGAAAAATCAGCCCTTAATATCAATAGTAATTCTCAGGCCACAATGAAACACTATTTTAACTACCCATTTTAATTAATTACAATAAAATTCTAAATCTCAAATATCTTTCTTAACAAAACAATAAAAATTTTAATGTCACAAAAAAATGTCACAATACAATATAAGATCGTTCCACTAATTACGTGTGAACCGCCTACGTTACGGTTCGTGACGTAACCACGTAGTATTACGCGAACGCAGTGGGCCAAGGACTATATGTTCCCACCAACGTGTGACATTGATGACCAAACGCTATACCACAATATTATTGTCAGCATTTACTTTGTATTCAGATTTTTCTGTGTGATAGGTCGGCAAACAAGGAGCTACGACTATAGTCACCTGATTCTTAGGAATCAGCGCCGCCTATGGAAATCTAGAACATTAGAGGAGTTACAAGTGCGTAGCCGGCCTTTTGTTACTCCTAAAGGATTTGAGGATTGGGAATTTGGGGTTTGGGGATTGGTGATTAGGATTGGGCATGAGGTTTGGGATTGGGATTGGCGATTGGGGATTGGAATTGGGATTCGGATTATCTTCAAATTAAAATCAACTTTATTCACATTTGACTGAAATACAAATCAAAATAACCAACATATTACCAGACAGTACTACACCTAAGCTGCGTCTATTCCGCAGCAAAACGAACACGGTATGAAGTTGTACAGTTTGCAAATTATATGTACCTTCAGCGTGGCTGAAGCAATTTCTGTATGTGCAGTCAGCGATCATGAGGAATCCAATGTGACATTTGATATTACTATAGGAAACTATGAGCTATTTGGAGAAGTAATCTAGAATCTATCCCGAACGATGGACATCGTATTTGTGAATTAGGATGCTTTTTTTTGTGAAGGGAAAATTGTCCGCATTAGACGGTTTTCTAAAAACCCTCAGTTCCTTCTCCTGCTTTAGACCGATACCGCGGTAGCTCATAGCCCCCGTATCTCTGGCTGAACATTGGCCCTGTAAGGCCCCGTCTGTGGTGGCTTTTTGAGGCGCCTTTGCAATAAAAATGTGTTGTGGTTTTTTTATTGCTGTTGTATTTATTGATGTTTTTTATTGCTTAGTCAAAGTTGTTGTGTCTGGTCTAGGTGTGATTGGAAAGTTTGAGCTTTGCTGGTTTTTTTTATTTTTAATTTATTTGTAAACGTTGTCCCACACTAGGACTTAGGTACTCCTGTGTCGTGATTGCGTTTACAAACATTCCAATTCACATATAGAGACCACTCAGGCCCAAAATAAGAATTAGTGGATTGAACTGTAATTCCGTGCGGGAATAGAATCCGTGATACGTTGAGCAGCAGCCAGTCGTCCAGCCATTACGCTAACCGTGCAGTTTTTATGCTCAAGCAAGTAATAGAAGATACACCGTTGATAAAAAGAACCAATGAATTCTACTCTTCAAGTGAGGATTTTGTGTACAATAGTGATTTGTAGCTTTAAATTTGTCAAGTGAATCGATAATTTGCATCTCAAGTTTTTCTACAAAATATTCCATTCAAAGTCTACAATAAAAACATTAATTCATGACAATCACAGTGGCTAGTCAAGCGTAACACAATATTTTATAAGAAATAACTTACGATGGAGTTTTTTTATGTAATAGACAATCTGTGTGGCCATGTGGCGAGGCCTTAGTATTGGTTAAAGTAAAAAATAATAACATTTTATACAAAAAAAATATTGATAAAATTAAGCGAATATTTTTCTTCTTCTTCGGGTTGAATTAAATACGTAAAATCATATAAGAGAGACTTTCAGACGACTAATAAAATGGACGAATGAGTGAACTGACACCTACGCAAGTAATTACATTTAGGTCTCATTAATCAGGTATATATATCCTTAAAGAAACGAATTATTACTCGAGGACAGAATTATATGTTAGTCACACAACTCTAGATATCCTTAATTATACTAGTCACAGAATCAATGCTTTGATTACAGAAAATTATACGTCGACGAAGTGCGTAATGACAGGCCAATATGTTCAACTACTCCAAGTAAATGAATTGAAATAAGGCCTAATGTCAGACCCGCAATTTGCAAACTAAGGCTAAGCATTCGTCCTTAACCTTAAAACTATGTACTTATAAACTAATTTCCTAAATAAGTTCCAACAGATAAGTACATAGTAATTACTTTAAAATAGGATTGAATTAGTCACGGATGAAACAATTTACTTCAAAATTTTGTTCAAGTTAAAATCAACCCTATTACAATTTAACAAGTTTTAATTCCATTATGACCGTTTTACGTCTACGAGTTTAAAAAAAGCACTTATTCCCAGGTTTTCATTTCTTAGAACGCAAGCGCTGTAGCGCTGTTTTTTTGTAGATAGTCTAAGGACGGATAATTGAATGCACAATTTGCTCAGCGCTTAGCGCTTTAAAATCTACCGTTTGTTCAAATGAGGAACTTAACGATTCATTGTTTTTTATTTGATTGTGCTGTAATAGACTTTATTGGATTGGTAATGATGTTTAAAGTGCCTTGCAGAATGTGGGGACTATTGAGAAGTTATGTAGATCCTTTTATCTGTGTAATCATCATTGTTTTTTCTATGAGTCTTATGATCATAGGTTTAAAGGATATTTTCCTTAGAATGCAGGTAATAAACACTTCTGAGTACTAAATGTCCTAGGCGGAACACGGTGGAACCACCAAGTACTTGGTTCGCCCGTCACGTCTCCCAGATGTAATGCTCTTGGCCAATTTAAACTTGGGCAGACAACTTGGCTGCGGTCGATTGTTTGAAATTTTCACTAAATCCTTAGTATTAGTTATTTCAAGGCTCGTTGGACGTGAGGCGAGCGGAGTTCAGGCAACTTCTTGTTATGTGGCCAAAGATTTTGATACCAACTATAATTGCTTTGGGAATGAATCGGAATCACCTAGACCATGAACGCGAACAATAGTATTGTTGGCTTTTATTTGTTATATGTCCGGAAAACCCAGTCCATTGAACCAGTCTTTGGTCTGAATTACCTTAAAATAATTACTATTTCAGCTCGGATGTAATCGATTCACTTACCGTATCCACCGTATCCACCGTATCCGAGTCCACCGTATCCGAGACCGCCGTATCCCAGTCCGCCATCGTATCCGACGCCACTGTATCCGAGGCCACCGTATCCGAGGCCGGAGAGACCTCGCTTCTCGGTCTTCTTCGCGGCTTCCTCAGCGGAGACCGCCACCATAGCTACGGCGAGGACAATCTGGGAATGAAGAAAAGTAAGACATTAATACAAAAAAAAAACTATACTAATATTATAAAGAGGTAAAATTTGTAAGTTTGTATGTAGGGGGTAATCTTTGGAACCGCTGAACGGATTTCCAAAATTCTTTTACTGATAGATAGCTACAATGTTCTTGAATGCTATAGGCTATAAAACATCACGCTACAATTAAATGGAACCGAGCAGTGGGTGAAACCGCGCGAGAGTAGCTAGTCATCACTGATCATGAAATATACCTAATTTCATGATCAGTGATGACTATCCATTGGCAAAAATATTTTTTTACTGATCACGAGGTCCTTGCCAAATTGAGGGGGGAACCTAGTCTTTTATAGTTCTATGCGGTATTTTGAAGTTTATCAAAATCAATAAGTATTAAATACTTTTTCTATAAATTGGTTTTTGTCAATCATGAATTATTCAACTTAATTTGTCTCCCGGCCAAATACAATGACATTATTCTTTGAAAAACATATTTCTCTTAATTTTTTAAACAACTTATCATGAAAAGTAAGAATTGTACATAGAAGCCAATATTAATCAACTGCAAAGCCTTTGAGGTCTATTAAAAGGGTATTTTGATAAAAGATCAAAATTAAAATGACTTCCACGTGTTAAATAGTAAATGAGGCCTTTACCACCATTCGGGGAGGCACGAAACCCTTCTAATGATCATTAAAGTAAGCACTCGAATTTATTAAAAACTGTATGGTGGTATTCTGAAATTGTACCCTTTTAATGGACCTACATTACACCGGAATTACTTCCTTTTGGAGTATTGAAATATATAGGGATACTTTCGTAATAATGTCTGAAAATAAAATAGACGATATTAGAGAGAGTTTAAGTATTTGTTACTGTTTTTAAGTGAGGAAAATCATATCAAAACAAACTATTTTTCTCTCCTAGGCGAGAGAGTGTCAGAGTCCTTACTGACTAAAAACTCCCCCGTTCCATCTCCTACTCCAGGCAAAGGCTATACAACCCTGGCTTATTTGTTAGTGGTTGGAAGTTTTGACAAAATAATAAGGTTGTAAAATTCATCAATACTTATAACGATGCGGAGCGGTAATGGGAGCTATTCTTAGCATAAAACTAACATTTGCAATAATACATGTACCACTTGAGAGCGAATCAATAATTTCTTCCTACTGTTTAGGGTATTAAAAAGTGTATAATTAATCAAACCCCAAGCGAACGCCGGCATTCGCGTACCTATTGTTCTTTTACTGTGTCAAAACTGGTTAAAACTTCGAAAACACGTCATATTTGCATATTAATTCCTTGCAATATTTTCGCCTATTTCCAAGTGAAGCTAGGGTAGCTATATCGCTATAGTAACTTCACATTCATGATATTGAAGGTATCCATACTTCTTTGTTTTAAAGGAAGTCCTTAGTTACGGCAATCAGCTTGCCTCTTTGTTGGGACATAGGTAAGTGCAATTGTTCACCGATTGTCGTACGATAATTAGCAGGTTGAGTAAGCCTAATGATGTCCTGTTTGCATTGCTTTTAATGAATTTTAGATTTTATTGCTAAAGGATAACACTTAAAATCTATTACACGGCAATTTGGGATAGTTTTATATGCTGTTTTTTAACACGTAATATTCTTTTTATTTGAATTTAAAAAGAGAACAGCGAGAAAGAAAAAGAAGAAGTTTTATTTGTTTTGTTGAATTTGTTTAAATCACTTCATAGTATAAAACAAAGTCGCTTTCTCCGTCCCTATATCCTACGCGTATGCTTAAATCTTTGAAACTACGTAACGGATTTTGATGTGGTTTTTTAATAGATGGAGTGATTGAAGAATATGTTTTATATGTATGTATAATAACATCATTGCAAATGTAAGAAGATGGGGTGGGTCGCTAGTTTTTTTTATACAACCGAAAAAGTTATTATAATTGAGCTTTATATTTTTATTGCTTTGAAAAGTAGATATATTTCCCACCAATTTTTTACTATCTTTTCTAGAAACATCCAATGGTTGTCCACAATTTAATACACGTAAGAGGTGACCAAAGGAATAAAACTTTTGGCACTACTTCCAACTGTAGGTTGCTACTTGGAATACTTTATGCCAAAAATCCAATATCTAAGTGTTCGGATTTAGAACAGAAAATTCACGCTTGTCGGGTTTAAAGGTATAAAACTGACCATTTCGTTGTGAGAAAGATAAAGGTTCAGGAAACCGAAGGAATAAGGTCTTTGAACTAAACTATTTTATTTTTGCAGATAATAATAATTCGTGATCTTTACAATAAAACTGTTTAATTAACACGCACCGCGAATTAATTGATATTTGGTTAGCTAAATTTAAATTTGTGACCTCTAACGATTTGCATATTTGGAAGTATTTATTTTTCAACTAACTTCGACAAGTACATAACTTCTTCTAAATAATAGGTCTTTACCTATAAAATTGCCGTTCTGCAGTACTGGCCACTTCAAATCAAAATAGTTTTTGTTAGGCTAAGGCTAATTACCTAATTTTGTTTTAAAAATTGGAACATGGGATTCTTTTTCCAAAAGTAGTCATTTGTTTATTGATTAGTGTTACATTTTCATCGCATTTCATATCAAAAAATTCGTTTAAATTTTTTCATGCAAAACGGCAATTTCATAGGTAAACTAACATAACATTATATATTTTGCCTACTTAATAAATAGAATTTTAGCATTACGTACTCACAGCATTTACGTAAACTAATTATGATATCAATTGTTTACAAATTATTAAAAAAATCATATTAAAGTTTTTATTTTTACATGTTATATGTACCTTTATAAAATGTTGACTATATACAAAATGAAATATAAAAAATGCACCCACAATTGACCGTGAAACTCGAGTGCTCGTAAAATATTATTATTTTAAACTACCGCTATAAAATGGTAATATATTTTTTATATGAAATGTTTTTATTTGAAACAATAGATAGAACAACTTGTTGCTGTACATTTTTAATTTCAGAATTCATTTTTGATAAGAATTCCTCTTAAATATGTTTTTATAATAACTATCGTGAGACATACTAAATTAACTAAACATCGCGTGTATATATTGAGAAAAGCTCTACTAGTTTCGAACCACAGAGGGGTTCTTCCTCATGAGCAGCGTGCGCGGACGCGGCGACGTCGCGCAGCCTACTGATAATTACTTAATTCCTCTTATAGTTATTATTTTAATTTTAAAACGAAAGAATTACCGCAGACAGAATAACATTTCGTTGAAAAGGCCGGTTTTAAAAGCGTTTGACGTTTTGTTTATATTTTTTTATTGGCTAAGAAGGCAAAGAAGAATTCTGCATATTTGACATAGGCAATATAAGAGAAGTAAGAGAAGTTATAAGCACTGATATCTATGAAGTACCGTCTCCATACAAGACATTACATTCCGTTGTGTAGTTTTGTTTTTTTTATGTTATAGGTCGGCAAACGAGCAGACGGATTACCTGATGGTAAGCAATCAGCGCCGCCCATGAACACTCGCAACGGAGGAGTTACGAGTGCGTTGCCGACCTTTTAGGGATTAGGGATTTGAAGATTTAGGGATTGAGGAGGGATTGGGGGAGGGGAAGGATTGGGCTTCCGGTAACCTCACTCACACGGCGAAACACAACGCTGTTTTAAAGATTTATGCAATTAAATAATAAAAAATACATAGTGATATAGGGACAGCAAATATAAATTTTGTTTTATACTCTGTAGTGAAGTACCCATTAAAATGTAACAAAGAAGTTTGTAAGTAAAAAAAATATTATTAAGTTATTAAGAAATACAAAATTAATTAATTGAAAGATTACGATTGTTATCTAGTTACGTACGTACGTATCATTAATTTGAATAATTATTTTTAACCACGCCCATTGAAGTGGGCAACGTGTAATTACGTTGTTTATTAATTAATTCCGTTTATGTAGTGTGTAATTAAGTTTTATTAGGAGTGTCATAAAATCTTCTTATATTTTCTTATCAGAAGTTTTTGGATAGATCTTGAAGTACATGACATGACAATGAAAAATTAAAATATTAAGGTTTAGATTGACTGCACGGTCAGCAATGTGCATGTGTAGCGGGTTTGATTCCCGTACGAAAAAACTCTAGTGTGATCCACTCCTTTATTGTTCTGAGCGTGATGTGTATGTGAGTGTATGTTTATAAACACACCCAAGATACAGGAGGAAATCCTAGTATGTTGAAGACAATACAAATTATAATAGTTACTTTTGTAGAGAATAACTATGAAAAATTCGTTAGCATTACCCAACATTTATTTTAAGAATATTAGTCACATATTGTACATACTTCATCATAATCATCAGCCTGTAAGTGCTCACGACTAAGCAAAGTCCTCTTCTCACATGGAGAAGGTTTGAGCATTAATCACCACGCTTGCTTGGGGCGTTTGAACCTTATACGTTGAAAAAACACTACTTACTTTTAATTATTTGTTAAATAATAATAAGTTAAGTGCAAGTCTATCAGGCAACTACAAAAACATACTATCAACTTTACTAAGGGCTCTTTTTTCAAGATAAAGGTTACCTGAGGAATAATTATGATGCTGTCGCGTCAGAATGTTTGTATAAGACAGTGACAGCAACAATTTTATTCCTCAAATAACATTTATCTGACTATTGAAAAATCAGCCCTAAATTCTAACAGTTGACTAACAGTCACTTCAAGTAAAAATGGCCTGTAAGAGCAAAATCCAAGACATAAACTTTATCAATCACCCTCACAACCAATAGCTAACATAAAAACTATAAGAAAACACACAAAAACCTTGGCTACTTAATGTGCTCCTATTTATCCATATTACACCAAAAGGTGAGGGAATGGACTGGCGACTGAAAGGTTATAAGTTCAATTACTGGCTTAGTAACTACTATCAATAGTGTTAAAGCATGCATTGATACTACTGTTTGATTCAAGTACTACATAAAATATGTTTTTTTCTAGATTAGTTTTGATCTACATGCTCTTCTAAATAACTTAGTCAAAGTCAAAATCAAAGTTTTTTATTTCTATTAATCCTTTAAAATTTTACTTGTAACATTAAAGTTGAAATATGTATTAGTCTATCCGTTTGCCAAGCTACTCATTTATTGTTATTTAACAGAAAAAATATCTTAGACTAGACTTCTTTGTTCAATACAAAACTAAAGAATAAGTAATTTACTCCGATGCCATAAAAAAACTAATTATTTATTACTCAAATTGATTACAAAAATTAAATAAGTAATCACAATAGGATCACTGCCTACAATAAACCACTGCACTTTATAACAATGACCACTTTTATACTTTCAATCGTGGTTACTCGAGACAAAATAAAAGAACAATAGGTGCGTGGACGCCGGCGTTCGCTTCGGGCTTGGTGAATCCAAACTAATATTATAAATGCGAAAGTAACTCTGTCTGTCTATCTGTCTTTTCTTCACGTCTAAACTACTGAACCTACACCTTGTGTGAGTACGGACATGGTTCGGACTTCGAGAAAGGACAAATTTTTAAACCAAAAATCTGCAAGAAGTCACTATAAATGCGAATGTACCTCTGTCTGTCTGTCTTTTCTTTACGCCTAAACTACTGAACCTATTTGTGTGAAATTTGGTACAGACTTAGTTTAGAACTCGAGAAAGGACATGGGGTAGTTTTTAAACCAAAAATCTGCAGGAAGTCACTATTCCACACGAAGAATGTCGCAGGCAAAAGTTAGTAAATAATAAAATAAATAGCCTTCTAGTCCAAACACCCTTATATGTTAAAGCCTTTTGCTATATACATATATAATGACACATTAGACACAATACACACTATGATTTGTTGCAACGCTAAATATCAACAAATGTATGAATCATATCCTATCGAATGAAGTAAGGTATAATTTGCCATAGCAATCTAGGGCAAAGTGTTTGCAACTTCCTATAGCGAAATGTATCTACTTAGATATTTGAAATGTAAAGTAGTGTGGAATTGGGCAGCTGAGTTTAGTATCATGTGGATAATCTAGATTTAAACATTTTTTTGTGAGGGTAAAACCATCAAAATGTCTTCTCCCGGGCGGGAGGGAGTGTCAGACTGTTACTGACTAAACCCCCCTGTTCCTTCTCCTGCTCTGGGCCGAGGTCGCGGTGCCTCTTATCCCGCAACCCCGGCTGAGATTTAAACACTTATTTTGGGCTTTGTAATAAAAAGTGTCTAATACACTTATACAACACATAATTCACACAAATTACGCTTTACATATATTCATATTTTTTAGTATTATTTTTATGCAATTTATAACTGAATATTAGGCCAGATTAACTAATAAAAACTTTTTTTCGATAAGTGTTTCTTTTAATATTTTATTTACATTCATAAAACATTGACGAGCTAACGAAAAATGTGAAATAATATTTTAAACTGCGATAATATACAAAGCGAGTGATTTTTGTCTAATTTTCTTACTATAAAAATAAAGTGCATTAATATACAGTGCAAGCATTATGAAGTTAATAAGTGCAGGAAAAGTTTTCACATAACTAAATACTACTAATTCCATGCAAAATCATGCAACAATTTATTATTATCAAAAACATTTACATAAATTAAATTATTTTGTTTACATATAATGCCAAAATTAAATATAAATTATATTCATAAATATATAAGTAAATATCCTATTTCTTTTTATAAATATTTTTTTTATTTAATTATCGAAAAGTCCCCTTATATATATAAAAACAAATCTCCCTTACCAAGAATTTCATGTTGGCTACAATGTATCACTGCAACGACTGATGACCGACTCTTGCGCATGCCGCTTATATACCGATCTTACTCGACCGACTACAACAAACATGCTTCAATTATTTTCAATTTTTTCTACTGTCAAGGATACTAGATGTAGGGATGAAGAATTATGAAATAACTTGCTTTAGTGAAGGTAATACAGAATGAGACGTATTTTCATGTTAATTAGAGGTCATATTTGCTTGAAGTAGAGGTTAAGCAGTGTCTTATGATTTGGAGGAAGTAATTTAATAGGGTCTGGCTTATGTGAAATTAGATGGTAGTTTATTGCTTCATTGATCATGGGTTATATGGCCGTGCTATGCGATTGTGGTGCTTTTAGCTAAATAGATTAAGGTCCTTTATTATACTCTGGTGGGTTTAAGTCTCTCTCTTGTATTTTATCACCTAGGTAATAGAAAAGGATTTCGTTTTCTTCTCCTCTAATAATTTCTTCTAACTTGTTTTTTTTTTGTTTTCTTTTGTATTTGTTTGTCAGAATAATATTACTTACAATAGATCTTAAATTTTTATTATTCAAGATTAATTAAATTCATTTAATTTTTATTCTTGTCTCTGAGACGCCTTCACTGTTTTGGGGTTTTCATGGTTGTATCTACTCTTAAGTATCCTAAATCCTGGGAAGTTCTACTTAACAGTTTTAGTAATTCGTGTAAGGTGGTGGTGGTGCCTATTCTATTCTAATTCTAGAAATGTTTTATAATTTAAATACTTACCTAATTTTTATACATTTATTTTTAGTTTAGTTGTGTACTCATTTGTTTGATTTCATTATAAAATTTTGTTACCTGACAGATTTTCAGGCCCTATCCAAAACATACTCTTTCAAAGGGTATCTCAATATTTTTGTATTATAGCTTACCTAAGTCATTATTTAATTAATTATGTTTAACGTCTTTGTAGCGTTCGCCGCGTTACGTGTCGCTCAATACTACTCATGATTATGAGCCCTAGCGTTGCTTGAAACTAGTTCAGTTAAGTCGTAAAATAGTTACGTGAGCAAACTTATAAATTAATTATATTCAGTTATTTATACAAATATTTTTCGATTTCATTTTGTTTTTCAATAACGACATCTTTAAATTACTGTAAGAGTGTAAGAGTCACCTTGAAAAGGCTAAGCATAGGTGCTGATGACAGGAAATGTCGGCAACAATAGTCTAGTCAAACGATGCCAGGTGCAGTCAACCGTTGAAATTCCTCCTACTATGAATATTGGTTGATTTATGATGATTTCTAAATAGTTTTACTAAGTTTGTGTAATTTTTTTTTGCGTTGCCCCACACTAGGATCTTTACCTGTGTCGTGGGTGCGTTTACAAACATACAAATGATACCCAGACCCGAAACAACAAGTTGTGGATGACACAAAGTTTTGTTCCGTGCAGAAATCGAACCGGCGACACGTCGCACGGCAGCCAGATGCCCAACCACCGCGCCAACCGTGCAGTCAAATTAAATAAAATTAAATTGGGCTATTGATTCATAGGTTGGAAAAGTTGGTGACTTTGGTGACTGATTTATCTGTTGTATGAGTTTTTGAGGTTAGTTTCGGTTATTCAAATGTATTAGGGAGTGTTCTTTTTTAATTTTTGTTTTTGTGTGACGACTGTTGTACTGGTGCTTAATTTTAAGGTTATTTAAGCGTCCACACGTGGGATTTCTTTCTCTGTATAGAGGTTCCATTTACCAACATACAATTTCACATACTAGTTAGATCACACCCAGACCTAGAACAACACTGACAAACACAGAATTGTTCCTTCTGGGAAATGAATTCTAGATTGATTGATCCAGTCAAAAGTCAGTACGACAATTAAATACTTACATTTTTTTGTTATTATATTTTTTTCTTATGTAATCGGTCAGCAAGCAAACAGACGGATTACCTGATGGTAAGCAATCAGCGTCGCCCATGGACACCCGCAACGGAGGAGTTACGAGTGCGTTGCCGACCTCTCAGGGATTAGGGTTTTGGAGATTTAGGGATTGGGGAGGGATCAGGGGAGCGGAAGGATTGTGCCTCCGGTAACCTCACTCACACGGCGAAATACAACGCTGTGGAGGTTTCACTTAACTTTCTTACTTATTTATAATGTTGGCAAAAAGCCAACATTATAATAAAAGTAGGTTGTATAATATGTAATAATGTGCAAGGTGCAAGTAAAAAGTTTGAGTCAACCGCTGTGACAGGCTTAAAAATTACACATTTTAAACTTGGAATAAAATTCGTCAAATCGTCAGATCGTTGTTCAACCTGAATCTATGTTCAATGCGGGTCTGCAACGCCCGAGGCATGGAAGCGTTATCCTTTCAAATTATAAAGTTACAATTCGAAATGATTTGCCATTATCTACTGTTTTCTTCAAACCGTGACAGTATCAGTTTCTTTCGTGATTTGATGGTAAGTGATCAGCGGAGCCCCAATAGCTCCTAGAAATACTATATACCAAAGGGCATCATCGACTACATCACCATAAACCCTTTGGTCGGTTTGCTTTTGTTTTAAAAAGGAGTAGTTTTCTTGAGTTCATTTTAAGGAGTTCTTTTTTGGTAAGAATGTCGTGTTGGTGCGGAAATAACGTTGACGGCAGTTTATTCTACAGCTTTGTGGTGCGAGGAACAAAGTTTCTTTGAAAATGCAGTCTGGTACCGCGTGCACTCGCACATGCAACCCGTATTTAAAAATGTACCTCGACCACAGACCGGGGCAGGAGAAGAAACGTTGCAGTATACATAAAGTTCATTAGCTTCCTGTCCGCGACTTCATCAGCAAACCTTAACAAATACGGTAGTTTCCAACTAGTAAAATTCAATACTTTTATCCAAACGTCAAAAACTATACTTTTCTATGAAATTTGTATGAAATACCGAGTTAAGACATCATAACATTTTTGCGTCAAAAAGCTTACATACTTATTTCTTAATAATTAGCTAAAAAATAAAATCTAAAACTTATTTCTATCGATCGATGAATAAAAGTTAGTTCTTTTTTAATATTTTATTGTAATGAAACGTTGCATTAATTTATTTTTGACCTACGAAACTACCGAATTGTACACCTAAAGCTTCCTCTTCAATAATTCTATCTATTAAACGGCCTTTTATTACCGTTTTTTTTTTAATTTAATTTTGTCTTTACCTTCGAAAACTTAACTGATCCACATAAAATAAAAGACAAGACATTCCAGTTAAGTCAGCCAAGTCCAAATCAAAGTAAAGCGACACGATACAAAGTAATAAATTGATCTATCAAGTAGTTTGAACATGATCCTATGGTATTCAAAAGTCATTCCGTTCACATCTATTATAAGCAGTAATCTGTCAACAGGCGGCGACTCGACAAGCCTGTAATTATTAATAAATGTTGTAATTAAGAAGACCTGTCGATCATCTACTTAAATTAGATTATTTACATAAAATTATTCTTCGTGTTAATCATCTGTGGTGATTTATTAGTGATGAAATTCGTGTGCTGTAAGTTTATACTTCATAATATATTTCCTAGTGATGTTCTCTTTCACTATACGCCAATGGAGTAAAGTTTAAAAAAAACCGTTGGTCTATGCCACGTTTCAAACCTGAACTCTCAAGACATTATTTATTAAAAAAATATTATTTATTATTTTATTCAACCTGTGTTTTTTTACTTTGTATATAATATCGCTAACTATGTAAAGTGCAATTTTCCTAATAATGCAAAATATACATATATTGATCAACTCTGTAGTTGCAATAATTGTGGTCCTTCGAGTAACCTAGCAATGCAAGATACTTTTTTGCTAATTATTAGTCATTAGTGTTCAATCTCAAAAAGGATACTGCTAATATGAACTTTTCTTGTTAATTAAATAGACCTTGGGTGTGTCATCTTACATAATGAGACGTTAGTAACGGACCTCCGTACTTCGGGATCTTTTTCTTATTTGATTCTTTGACCAGTTATTTTGCAATTCGACTTCGTGATACAACATAAATTCTATTCATGTGTGATGTGTATGATGAAGATAGGTGCACCTATTTAGATATGGTATCTTTCTTTATTTTTACGGTGTCTAGTATCAACAGTTGCAGATAACGAAATTTCTTTGAATCTCTATTTGTAAAAAAGGGGAGTAGCGGAGTCATGTAACCTTATTTTTGTTTAGGGGTGAAATATTGTATTACTACTTTTGCCCTGGTTGGGGAGAAAGGTATATTGTAAGATTCTTAACTAAAAACCACCCTGTTCTAACTCGTACGCCAAGCTGGGTCCACGGTACCTTATTGCGCTTATTGCACCCTCAAACCAATTTTCTTTTAATATTGTCCTTTTCAATGTCTAGCTTAGGTTATACTACTTATTTCATACCTACACAACACATTTATGAAGCACAAACAAATACTATTTATAGACATAAATACCAGTGAAACGAACCAAGAAAAAGCAGGTACCACATAGTCTTCACCAATATTCCTTAGAAAGAGGTCACACACAACCTCCACTTTATAACCACGCCCTCTATAATTCGAACACAGAAACTTCTTCAGATGAATCAACTGACTGACGTAATATTTGCAACACAGGCCTCAAACTATAATTCTGCAATGTATCGGCTAATTGCATCTACGGTTTTGTAATTAAAACAATGAATGCATTGTATACGCATGTGTAGATATAGTATGTTGTTTTTTGGGTATCTATGTAGGTACATAGTAAATTTGACATAAAGAGGTAAAAAGAGTGGCTGTAATGGAACAAAGCGTTGTTTATTAAAACTTTTTTGTGTAAACCTTGAAAGTGATTGTGATATAACCTCATTTTTTTATGGGATGATTCGACAAATGCCTATGGGTAGTATGGACAAACGCAACACCAGAGGTGTTACGAGTGCGTTGCCGGCCTTTTGGGGATAAGTATTGCAGATATTAAACGATTGGAAAGGGATAGGGGAGGTGGAGGGATTAGGCAGCCGGTAACCTCGCTCACAAGGCGGCAAAATACAATGCT